GTTGCTGTCTCCCTCGCCGAGATGTGCAGCGCCATGCCCACCGCCATGGGCCAGGCCTACTGGATCTGGCGCCTGTGGCCCGGCGGCAAGGGCCGCTTCACCTCCTACCTCTGCGCCTGGATCAACAAGTTCGGCTGGTGGACGCTCTCCGCCTCCCAGGTCGCCTTCATGACCGACTTCATGCTGAGCATGAAGGTTCTGTACGACCCGGACTGGGACGGCGCCCACGGCTGGGTACGCTTCCTACTCTACCTCGCCGTGACGGCTTTTGTCACTCTCTTCAACGTCGTCGCCTGCCGCAGGGACGCCATCCTGCCCATGTTCAACAACTTTGTTGGCATATGTTTCGTCACTCTCTTCTTCGTCTTCTCGCTGGCGCTCCTCATTTACGTCGGCGTCAAGGACGGCAACTCGTTCCAGCGCGCGTCTTTCGTCTTTGGCCGCTGGCTCAACCAGACGGGTTGGAACGATGGTGTGACGTGGTTCCTGGGCCTCGTCCAGGCGGCCTACGGCCTGACGGCCTTTGACGCCGCCATCCACCTCGTCGAAGAGATTCCTGCGCCGCGCAAGAACATTCCCCGCGTCATGTGGCTCTCCGTCACCATGGGTGCCGTCTCCGGCTTCATCTTCATGGTGGTGTGTCTCTTCTGCATCCAGGACCTCGACGCCGTCATCGACCCCTCGACAGGTCTCCCCTTTATGGACCTGCTCAAGGGTACCACCGGCCTCACCGTCGCCACCGTGCTCCTGTCCTTCTTCATATTCAACGGCATGGGCCAGGCTGTCAGCATCGTCACGACGGCCTCGCGTCTGACGTGGAGTTTCGCTCGTGACGGCGGCATCCCGTGGAGTCCCTACTTCAGCAAGGTCAACGAGACCTGGCGCGTACCTGTGCGTGCTCTCTGGCTGCAAGGCGGTATCATTGGCCTCATCGGCGTATTATATACCTTCGCCGACACGGTCCTCGAGGCCATCCTCGGCGTCAGCGTCATCGCATTGACGGTATCCTACGGCATGCCCGTGCTGGTGTTGCTCATGGTCGGTCGCGATAAGCTCCCACCTGCCGAGTTCAAGCTTGGTCGTTTTGGGACCTTGATCAACTGGATCTCGGTCTTCTACTGCGCCATCACGAGTGTCTTCTTCTTCTTTCCCGGCACCCCAAATCCGACCGTCTCCGATATGAACTACGCCATCGCGGTGTTTGGTATTATGATGGTAGTGTCTCTTGGTTTCTGGGTCACCAAGGGCCGCTTGACCTACCTGCGCGCAAGCGAGGCCGAAGAAATCATCATTGAAGCGCGCCGCACTGAGCTAGCACAGGCAGCCGCAGACCACCCCGGAGCCGAGGGCACCGGTGATGTCAAGGATACCATCGAGTCTTTCCGAGAGAGGCGGCAGTCTTAGACGCGGCTGGTGTCGATTGTTTTACTTCCCTGGGGAACACACTGCCGTGTTGGTGGCTTGCCCGTGTCTTGATAATTGTAGCCCGTACTTCAAACCACATTTCTTGAAATTATGTGGCCCAGGCGGTGCTCGCAATCATGAAGCCGACCCCCTTACTTTGCGTATTCCACCAATGCCGACAGATGTAGGGAATAATACCGGTTGTCCGTTGCCAGCTGCTGCTTCGACAGTTAGATGTTGCTGTCTTGTGTACCAGACATTGTCGCGATTTTGGTCACGTCGTCGTGACCTTGATACGCTGCCGAGATGCTCGTTTCACTTCCCCATGGGGAGCCGAATACTGGTCCACTGGTTCGCGTTCGTATTTACTCTCTGTTACGTACGAGAAACCAGGTGCCCGTACTTGAGAGTTCAGGGGACGGCATCGTAAGCCTGCAACGCTTATTCGCTCCTTGTCAACCCCAACTCCAGCCCAGTAGACACTGACCCAGTCAGGCTGGCAATCAAGCTGGCCCAGCCAAGGCGAAAAGAGGCCACAACGAAGCTTGTGCGGCGCGGCATGCCTATCTTCTTCCCTAACTGCGTTAGAGCTGCAGGGAACAGCTTGACAGCGGGGATGCGGAGAATCGCCCAGCTGATCTCGCCCGCTCAGTCCAATTTATTTCCTGTTTTGTCTTAGGGCAGACGGAGCTATCGCGAGCAGGCAGCCTGGTTGACTTCCAAAGTGCCAGGGTTGGTAATGCAGACCTCTGGTGGAATAACGAGACGGTTTCGATCACCAGCCACCGGCTCGAGCAGATGACACCGGGCCGGCTGCGTAAGATGTGTATGACGCTCCCGGGGAGCAAGCAATCTCGGAAGCACAAGGCTGAAAGATGTAGCTGAGGTGGGGCAAAGGGGAGAGCTGATAACGTCACAGAGCTCCAGGATTCTCGACAGTGATCAGAGGCACACCCTCGACTGACCAACTCTCCCCCGCTACTTCTCCCTGGCCAGGACATTCTTGCGTTATCTTGTCTCTACCTCCAAGCGTGTCAAGACGAGTCGATATCCGGGCTCTGCCTGGTTGTCGTCATCTCAGATCTCGAGGACAAAGTTGAAGAATGGCGGCAGACTTGAAGATTGAGCTTACAGCGCCGAACAAGCGGGTATACACCCAACCGCTCGGCCTGTTCATCAATAATGACTGGCATGCGTCATCAGACGGCAGCAAGATCACAAGCATCAACCCTACGTACGCACCAAGAGTTCATGTTCGTCCGATTTTTCGAGGTTCCTTTACTGACTTGCCAAAGCAACGAGAAGCCGATCGCATCAGTACAGGCCGCTTCGGAAGAAGATGTTGACAAGGCCGTCAAGGCAGCCCGCAAGGCCCTCAATGACCCAAGCTGGCGCGATCTTCCTGGCACCGACCGCGGCCAACTGATGAACCGTCTCGCCGACCTCATCCACGAGCACCGCGACACGCTGGCGACTATTGAAGCGTGGGACAACGGTAAACCGTACGCAACCGCGCTGAACGAAGATCTGGCCGAAACTGTAGGCACACTTCGCTACTACGCTGGGTACGCAGACAAGGTGTTCGGCCAAGTCATCGACACTACGCCGGCCAAGTTTGCCTACACTGTCCGTGAGCCCGTCGGCGTGTGCGGGCAGATCATCCCGTGGAACTACCCCCTTTCCATGGCAGCGTGGAAACTAGGCCCTGCGTTGGCTTGTGGCAACACGGTTATTCTGAAGCCCGCCGAGCAGACGCCTCTGTCGATTCTGTTCCTCGCAAGCCTAGTGGCGCAGGCTGGTTTCCCACCGGGTGTCATCAACATTGTGAACGGCACGGGTCCTGTTGCCGGCGCAGCCCTGGCGAGCCACCTGGATGTCGACAAGATAGCCTTCACGGGATCAACTGCGACGGCCAAGCACATTATGAAGATGGCGAGCGCGAACCTGAAGAATATCACACTGGAGACTGGCGGCAAGAGCCCGCTCATTGTGTTCGACGATGCCGACCTGGAGAACGCCGTTGAGTGGTCGCACATTGGCATCATGTCGAATCAGGGCCAAATTTGCACAGCGACGTCGCGTATCCTTGTGCAGGAGGGCATTTACTCCAAGTTTTTGGCAGCGTTCCGAGAGCAGGTCACGACTGTTTCGCGCGTAGGCGACCCGTTCGACGAAGAGACGTTCCAGGGTCCTCAGGTAACGAGGGCGCAGTACGACAGGGTGCTAGAGTATGCCGGCATCGGCACCAGCGAGGGTGCCAAGCTCGAAATGGGTGGCGAGCCAGTGAAGGGCGTCGGATCCGGCTTCTTCGTGCAGCCGACCGTCTTCACGGGGGTGACAGCTCAGATGCGCATCTTCCAGGAAGAGGTGTTTGGGCCATTTGTGGTCATTTCGACATTCAAGACGGAAGAGGAGGCACTCAGGCTTGCCAACGATACACAGTACGGGCTCGGCAGCGCCGTCTTCACGAGAGATCTGACGCGAGCGCACCGTGTGGCGAGGCGGATCGAGGCCGGCATGGTTTGGATCAACTCGAGCAACGACAGTGACTGGCGTGTTCCTTTTGGCGGTGTCAAGCAGAGTGGCATTGGGCGGGAGTTGGGCGAGGCGGGGCTCGCAGCGTACTCGAACATCAAGGCCGTCCACGTGAACATGACAGTGCCGTCGAAGCTTTGATGCTGATTATTAGTTGTTAATGTGTACGGGTTGGCGTGCTGCTGGACTTTACGGATGAAAACTGACCATTCTTCTTGGTTGCCTGTCACATGATCTCCTGCGGTGAACAAAGAGGTCGAGACTGCTGTCACTGGGTTGTTCAGATCTGGCGCAAGCGAGCGGGCGATATCGTGAGATCGAGCAGAGCATGCTTTAAAATGGAAACAGTGGTCATAAGAGACGCGGGAAGACCGAATCACCTGATCTCAGCCTCAACGAAAGATGGCAGCGAGGGGAAAACGGGGTATCTCAAGGGCAAGACCGTCGTCGCCAACGCACCTGCCTGTCAGAAGGTACCGGACGATCCGAGTCAGTGAAATGGCAGGAGGCACCCGAGACTGTGATATCCCTTGGGCGGAGCGCAAGTGGTTCAGACACGTACCTGCCTACCTTACCTACCTAGGTAAGGACGTGATACCTTGAAGTCCCTTAGGTACCTACCTAGGTACAATCTTGTACGTTCTTGCTCACTAGTAGGGCCCTAGGTACCTAGGTGTAGGCACTCGCAATCGCTATCGGCGCTAGAATACTGTAAAACCCCTATACCTTTCTCCCCCTCTCTGGCTGCCAACACCACCCTTTCTGTTCTCCTTCATGACCATCACCACCTTGTTACCAGCCAGCCATCGAGTTTCAAATCCCCCCTCCCCCATCACCTGCCGTTTGGCATCCCCTCTCAGCCGTTTGGCGTCCCCTCTCAGCCGTTTGGCGTCCCCTCTCAGCAACTTGAACCCTCCGGGCCACTCGCCCCGACTCGAGCCCACCTAGTCATGGTCTTCTCCGATACCCGTGTCTTTGAGTATCATTTACAGAATTGGGTCTCCGCCCGCCGCTAATCCGCTTCATCGACCGACCCCTTCTCGAACGCCAATCTCCGTAGCATGTCGCGACGAGTGCGCGTCGTACCGGGCTCTTGCTGGCCTTGCAAGAAACGCCGTGTCCGATGCGATCTGACGAAACCCGCATGCCGACGCTGCATCGTCGATGGCGCGTCATGCGACTACAATGCGCAGCTCATCCGATGGAGCACCCGGCCGAGCGTCAATCTGTCTCAACCTCTGGCCGAGATGGCTGCTTCGGCCACACGCCGCTCGCCGTGTCTCAAAATCGGACCGCCCCTCGCCAATGACGAGCAGCGCGCCCTTGGCTATTTCCAGGGCCGCGTCTGGCCCCTCCTGACGACCGTCCCCAACCCGTGCGCCCCGCCTACACCTGTCGCCATGCAGCACCGTGTCGTGCTGCTCTCCATGTGCGTCTTTGCTGCCTCGCATCGCTACCTCCAGGACGGCCGCGGCGCCGAGCTCATCACGCCGACCCGGTCCGAGTGTCTGCAGGTTCTGCGCACACAGGTCGGTGGCTGCTGCAAGGACAACAACGACATGCTGCCGACGCTGCTGTTCGCCGTGCTCCTGCTCTACCTGCATGACGGCCTCGTCGAGGGATCGGCCACCTCAGCCACCATGAAGCACCACGTCGGTGTGCTCGCCATCCTCGACCAGCTCGGCGGCCTGACCAAGGTCGTCGGCAAGGGCCAGGAGTCGATGGACATGCTGTTGTCCGAGTTTGCCTCGGCCGATCTGACGACGGCGCTCCTGCAGCAGCGAACCCCCGGGTTTGCACCCCACGTCTGGGATGTCATCGACGAGGGCTCCGTCTGGTGGGGCAGAGACGCCAAGGGCCGGTGCTCTCTAGCAGCCGTCTTCCACGATATGGCGACGCTCGCCACCTACCACGAGGCCGTCAGGACTGGCGCCGAAAGCCTCTCGGTTGACCGCATTCGGGCTTTCGAGGCCAGCTTGCAGCCCGTGTACGCGCCACTGACGACGGAGGATCTCGGGTCGGACCTGGATGGCGGGCAGCCGCTGCCCCTTGGCCAGGGCGAGATTGAGGCCGTCGAGGCATTCAAGCTCGTGCGTGCCTTTCAACGGACGGCACTGATCTACCTCTACCGCGTCATCTGCGGACTGCCGACATGCCACGCGCTTGTGCAGCAACACGTCGAACCGTGTCTCGACGGGCTGTTTGAGGTCCACCCATCTTCCCACATTTATCACTGCGTCATCTTCCCGCTCTATGTCGCCGGCGCCCACGCGCAAACAAGTAAGCGCAGGGCTGGCGTGTCTGACATGGTCTCGGGCATTTTCAATGACATGCGGTTTGGTTCGGTGCGCGCCATCGGCGAGGCACTGCGTGATGTCTGGAGGCGTGACGCGGAACGCATGTCGTGGGCAGACATGTTTAGCTTTCTAAGCCCGTATGCCGTCGTTCTGTGATTTACCTTGGTGATGCGGAAGTGTGTGATGGCAGGCGAGTGTCGTTATTGTCTTGTATCTTCTGGACCCAGCTTGACAGAATACAAGCTTGTTATTGTTCTACTGTCTTGTAAGCGCCTTGTGACTGACTGCGTATGCCTGTGCTGCAAGGGGCCACATGTCCCGCCCGATCCAACAGGTTGGGGGAATCGAGTAACTGTTCGGCATCCTCATGAGAGGTACACTGTCCCGGCAGGTCACTGTCCCGGCAGGTTCCCTCGACGATTGTTCTGGAATACTGTCGACATTCCAATCTGGAATTGT